CTCCTGTCTCTCTCTCTTTCTCTTTCTCTCTCTCTCTCTCCACTGCCCACAGACAAAATTGTACGCTTTTTGTAGGCTAACAGTAGTAATGGAACGTTTGTTCACGGCACAGAATTCTACAATTTTTCTTAAGTACGGCTAGCCACTTCGTACAATGAAATTATATTCGCGCAGGATGTGTGAATACTACAAAATATTAATGGCACAGGGCGTTCCAAAAGAAGGATGGAAACTAATTGGGCCTAGCATTTCCTCATTTTGCCCCTCTTCGTGTAGGGACAAAGATTGTACAAGATAGTTCACTCCTTTCTTTAAGCCAATTAAAAAAGTGTCCTCAAAATTTGATGGCGCCCTCTTCGAAAAAGTTCGGACTTTGCACTCAGATTTACCCTACTTTTGTGAAAAACAATAAAAGTGAAATTAAAAGATTATCCTTTTCTTCTGGAGAAATGAAAGAGAGCTTCAAAACAAACTTTTCGGGCTGAGTGAAAAACCTTGTTAAATGTGCTGTCTTTGGTAGGGATAGGTCTAGATCAAATTCTAATTGTGCAATGCGATGCGGATTGGATTTTTAATGAAAAGAACAAATGTTATCAATCACACAGATGTGACATAACAGATATAGTTTGAAGACAGGTTTTATCTTTTGTGTGTAGAATCTGTCTTGAAAAGTCATACTGCATGATAATATTAAAGGTTGGAAAGACAACAGAAAGTGAATAGGAAGTGTTAAATGATGGGTAGTCTCGTAGCCAACAAGCTGAAAGCCATAGATTTTGATAACCAGTTTGTTTGTCTCTGCATTATAATGCAGTTGTCTCTGCTGAAATGCAGGGCATTCGAAGGCACATACTTCATATGCTCAATAATATAGAGATGTACAATCGTTTGGGCACTTCGTCTAAGTGTATGCTTAGATCCGCAAAACATGCCGACAGGTAAAGCTTGACAATGGAAAATTTGCATGACATAGACAGCATACAACATGATATCAAAAACAAGTCTAAACAACTGAATATTTAGCGCTGCTTCTTGCACAGCACAGTGAAAGGAATGGGGAGCGTGTTCACAATCTACAGACACATAGAACTGGGCTAGCAATATGTTGGGGGGGGGGGGGGGTGACTAAAAAAGTCTTTTGCCTTGTTACTCAAAGCACGCTTTTGAGAGGTTCTCACAGGTGTCTAGGTGACTGTAATGTTTAGTTAAGTTAGGTCTGTGATACCAAATTAATGAATGCTGTAAAACACTAGCCAGGCCTATAGGATTAATGATTTAGTCAAGTGATCAAGTGATAACATAATAATTGTTCAATGAGTCACAAGAGAAAAGTGTCTAAGATTAGAATGTCTGTGTGATATTGTCCAAGCATTTGCTGAGTTGCAATAGATGACAGGTAGATAAAAGTGGTCGCTTGGAAAGTGGTGTGGCTGAGCGCTTAATCTCTTTAACCAAGTTTCCTCTTATCTGTTCTAGACAAGATATTTTTTCACATTAGTACAGTGTGTCAGTCCTGTTTTTTTTCCACAACCCATCAATGCCTTGTAGACAGAGCCACAGTCAGGAAATCTTTTAATAAAACAGACACGTTATGTCACATTATTGGTGAAAGTGACACCACTCTATTAAAGGGAGGTAACAGTAATTTTTAAAAATCAATGAAATGAAATGGTTGTGTTCCTTTCCCACTTTACATAGATTCACGTGATTGTTTTTGTAAAGTGTTTTATGGTGCTCGCAACTGCATAAGGTCATATGAGCGCACGGGACACACCTAATATTTTCAGTTGGTAGGAAATTTTGAATTTTGCTCGGGTGGCGGCCGAAGCCTACTCTTATCGATTTTAGACCCCCAAGGGATATTTAACCTGCGCAACTTGCACATGGGCCCTCCGAGATTTTTCGCCCTTGTTCGAGAAGCCTAGGTGTAGATTGTTCCTACCAGAAGATCAGGGGTGTGGCTGAAAGACAGCAGTAAGAAAAAGCGAAGGAGTAGCAGTAGAAAGGCTGCAAAAAGAATCAGGAGCCCAGAGGAAGGGGTAAAGGAGGTGAGGGGGTGGGGGCAGAAAGAGGAGACGAAAGCAGACGACAGAACATTGCTAGAGAGCAGGAAATGAGGTGAAAGGAGACAAATTTAGAGAAGAAAATTTTTTGGTCGCTACCCAGATTCGGACCCGGGACCTTTTGAATGAGAGGCCAACACCTTAACCTCTAGGCCACGAGAGCCCCCCAGATTCACATAAACGCACTCTCCATGTAAACGCATGCTTGGAAGCCCTCAAGAGCACCATGTGTTTAGGCAGAGAACACCATTGTACTGGGCCTCTTTCAGTGTAAATAGCATTTATGTGCCATTACAGCATTTGACGTGTTTAAATTGTAATGTTTTTTTTTTTGTTGTATTTTCAGATTGATAAGGCTTGCTTAGGTTGGGTTTAAAGTTGACAACTATTGTGTGAAGAAATAATTTTAAAAATGGATGGACGACGTGAATTTAGTCAAAGAGCTGGTTCTTCTGAAGTTCGTCTACAAACTGAAGCAAGAGATCAGGGGGTCAAGGCGCATTGTGCTGAGGTCTCATGCCAAGAAGCCCAACAGGTGAATATCTGGCAGTTTTGCTTACTGTATACTGTTTTCTTTTTTTTATTAGTGACTTGAATTTTGTGATTCTTAAAGAAATTTGCGAATTCAAGTCATTTGCGAAATGTTAAAAGGAGCGCTATTGCATTGGAAAAATGGGCGACTATAACTGGGAATTAAACACATTCACAAAAAAGGACATGGGCAAAATGCAAACCTAAAAAAAGCCAGTCTACAGTATTTCTAAATTTATGTAAAAATAAGTTCTGTAATGGTTAGAATACTTAATTGGTTATATTTTGTAACTGGCCAACTATTTGACTCCTGTGATGATTGTGTAGGGAAATCCTGCTTCTCTCCACGGCTGTAGCATATATCTCTATGCCAATCCTGATTGGAAGGCACTGCCTCTTCATAAATCTTCTTAATGTAGTCCTCATCTACTTTTCAAGGGGAATGAGCTATTTTTGGTTTGAGCATTTGAACTGCTTAAATGACAAAAGCCCAAAAGGACGAAGATGGTGCTCGTTTGAGTTGGTTTAATATCAAAGCTTGTTAAATGTGTACAGAATTCAGTATACAAAGAGTGTACATAGATTGTGCATTGGAACACTCACCTCTTTCTGTTGGATACCCTAAAAGTCATGAAAAATTTGTTCAGTAAATGTTTTGCCTCAGCTTTCAAATTATGGTAGTTTTGTTATGGATCAAGTTGCTGAACCGTTACGCTCTTTGAAAGAGCAGTTGGTCCATGGAAGTGCTTCGTTCAAAATACACCACAGTTATCAGTATATGATTATTTGG